TTGTGAATTCCTAGTATTTTAGAAGTTAGGAATTAGTCTAAATTCAGTCATTTGGAGATTTCAATTGATTGGTCAGGGTTTTTACAAATCAGAATGTACTCTCCTTCCGGTACTGTCGCAGGGTCCCACACAGCAGCACTGTCAAACTGGCAGCATCTCCACTCCTCTTGGCAGGAAACTCTGTCTAAGATCCCTGACCTACCTACCCTCTGCCTTGAGCAGCACATGCCGGAATTCAGAAGAGCCCACTGTGTCCTTTAACCAGGAAAGAGGCAAACCAGACAAACTCATGGAAATCCCTCCCTTGAAGCCTTTCCTTTCCAAATGTAAGGAGTACATGAAAGTTAAAGACCTCATACGCCCAAGACAGTTCCCTACAGGCCTTGTTTCTTCATAATTCAGAGGACCTTCAACCTAGGAAACTCTCTAGGCTGAGAAGGAAAGATAAAGACTCAGTGAATTTCTCTAGAATTTTCCTCAAGAGACACTTTAAAAATTACACTGCAATTCCCAGCTGCAGAAGAGTGAAATTCAAGAACCCTTGACTGTGGCCTTTTCCCTCCAGTCTGGGCAGCTCTGATCAAGTTCTACTGCCGCCCTGGGCCTCAGTTTCCCTTCAGACAAATCAAGATTATAAACTCCTCCTCTGTCCCAAAAGACAGTAGGTCAATATGTTATGAAACAAATGCATTTTATGAAAGTACTTGGAAAAAGTCTAATAAACTCTACAAACATAAAGTGTTTTCACATTTACAGTGTTTGTGTCGCCTAATCTGTCCTGGGGGTGGGGAAGGGAAGAGTGGCTTGTGGCATTTGGCAACAATTTACACCACTGATAAATACACCCACCTTGACATTTTCAAAGCCTGTCTCAGAAGACAAAGTCCCTTTTTTCTGAAGCATTAAGAGAAAATGTGCATGATTATCATCTGTCTAAAAAAAATGGGGAAGGAAAGAGGGAGGGAACCGGAATACAGCTGAACTGACACCGAGAAACTCACCATTTTATTCTGCACAATTGAACTTCATTAATCATAGAAAATCAGAGATGGAAAAGACCTATTAGGTCACCCCATCTATCCCTCTGAAAGCATTAAAAGCTTTCAAATGAGACAGAAATCGGAGGTCCTGATTGCTGATGGTCATTAAAGATGGTTTTTGTGAAGAAAAATGTTAACCTTCGCGTCCCTGACAAATTACACTCTGGGTGGTTACGGCTGCCTTTGCCAGAGCGCCTCAGTTCTGGGGTTGGAGGTCACCACCCCTTAGCTTGAGTGCCGCTAAGTGGCTTCATCAGGAGCCCCTGTTCGGTAACCACCATTTGCTTGTGGAGGGGGCCTTGCAGGAGTGGAGCTTGCCCTAATTCTCTGCTCTTCTTCTGTTCTTCCTGTGGAAAAGAAGAATGAGGTTTCCCCTCCAAAAATGCCTTGCTTTCAAGCCCGTTTCTCCAGGGAGCCTTCCCGCTTTTGGTCCCCCCACACACACACACCCCTCACACACACTATGACTCCCTTGGCTCAGCCGTACACCCATACATTCTGTGTCTCACAGGGCACCTCTGGCCCACTCAGAGTTTGCTGTTTCAAAAAGTTCCACATCTTTTTGCCCTTTCTTCTGAAACAGCCCTTACTTCTATTCCACTTATTATAGGGAGCTGTCTTTTTCCATTTCTTGTTGCTCTAGTTCATAAAGGTCACATATCCCAGGTCTGTCCATCATAGTAGCTAAAGCTCTGATTGGCCAGCAATGAGCACATGAGCCAAACCAGTCGAACCTAGGTCTTTGTCTGGAATTTTCTACACCCACACTAGGAAAGACGAGGCTTCATTTTCCTCATTTGTCTCAAAGACAGTATGATACAAACCTGAAGCTGCCTCATCTAATCAGAATAGAATGAGGACAATTATTCCTGGTTTTCTCAGTTGTGCAGCCAGCCAGTGCATAAAGTTTCTTCACTTAGGCTACTGTGAGCCTGGTTTCTCTCCCTGGGAACACATGGAGTCCGGACTATGAAATGCTATAAGTTTCCATCAGTCTATGCTGGTTACATGTGAGTCTTAGCTCCCCTTCAGTATGGCAGCTCCCAGAGGGCAGAAATCAAGCTTTCACCTTCTCTTCAAGGCTACAACCACAGCTGGCCACCAAATAGCAATTCAGTGGACTATATCCAAGTACATTAGGCAATGGGATCTTGCCTTTACTTCTCCTTCCTGCAAGGATTGCTTGTCGCCAAGAATCATTATAGTCATTTCCCCCAACACACTGGTGGAAGGGCACCCAAGACATGAATCCTCCTGCGAGAATGTGGCCATCCTGGCTGGGCAGACTGGGGTATCCCTATTCCTATGTGCTGGGGCTTTTTGCCGAGGGCTCTGCATTTTGTGTATTATGTGTGACTTTACTCATGCCAACCAGACACAGATCCAGCCATGTTTTCTTGCCATTGTGGTTACCAAGCAGGCCTAGTCTGGAAATGTGAGCTTTTGGACCAAGAACAGAATATAGAGGGGGAAACTTTTAATAAAAACAAAGGAGACAACTGGCATCAGCAACACTTCAGCCCCAAGGTAAAAGGTGACAGATAAGAAGTAACTGAAAACCTTAAACAAAATCACAAAACTTGCATGCCTTCTCCCTTGCCAACAGCGTCTCTCCCTCCCTAGTCTACACCTTTCTCTAGCACCCCACCTCCAAGGTCACCTCTTCCTCTGTTTCCCAAGGACTCCCAAAACCATCATGTGGCCAACCTCAGATAAGCATCAAGAGATTGCCTAATAAAAGCCACTGTTTATTAATCATCTCCAGACTGAGCTGTACGTTGTTTAACAACACATACTTACAAGGCACCTGTTGGGGCCCGAGGCACTGTTCTGTTTTACAAAGATCAACCCATTTCATCTTTGCTAAGGCCTTAGAGAGTGACCTACTATAATTACTAGTGAGCTTAGGTTTTTTGCTTATAGCCTCCTGGCTGATAAAAGAGAGTACTGAAGTGGTTTTTTTTTACAATCTATCGTCAACACACATTTTAAATGAGGGACAAATTGGGTTGTCAGCAGTTTGTGACTAAGCTGGATAGGAGAAATAGGAAATGAAAGTTGGAAAGACAACTCACAATGGGAAGGTGGTTGGGGCTCATCTTGTCAAAGCAAGCAACCATGGAGAATTCAGACAGGAATTTAAAGATTGAGAAGGCAGGAGGCGAACAGTACCAGCCTCATAACATCCAGCAAGTCAGCTGACAGAAGTCAGCAGGTATTTCCCTGGAAGTGGCTTACAAGTGTCAGATGCTCTTCCCAGATGTCATGGCCCTGGGCAGCCACTGGAATGACTGATTCCAGTGAGAAGCAATGAGACAAGGGAATAGACACACTAACCAAGGCTCCAACAGTTAGAACTCTTCTGGACTGCTACTTTGACTCTGGAGAGAAAAATACTCTGAGTTTCAAATAATAATGCATACAATAGGTAGCATATGGGAACTCCATATATTATAATAATAAATTATTTTGATAATCTTAATTATCCTTAGCAAAAAGTGATTTATATTTAATTGCTTCACTATAATGAAATAAAGTGATTATAACTCTAATTGTTACATATAATATAGAATTCATGCTATAAACTAAAACAGTTCTATTGTAATAAACAAATGCATGATTTAGTTAACAATAGTACATCACAGATGTTTGACCTGAAGGATTTTTTTTCCTCCCTCCAGGTTGATGCGAAGGTTTCTCAGATGAAAGTCTATTTGTAAAATTCTGTACTCCACTGCCACATCAGGATGTGTGTATCCCTCACATGGATGGCAGATAGTCCATCAGGAGAAAACAACCTCCTGATCCTTGACAGGTCAACCTCAAAGGAGGAAACACATCCATTTTTCAAAAAACTTTACTAAGTTTGAGAGTAAAATTTACATTTTGACAAAATTGTGTATCTACATAAACATCATCACTACCAAAACGAATATGAATAAATCCAAACAAAAATAGTCCAGACCATGAAGGTTCCTAATGATAAAGCATAGGATAAAGAAACTCCAACCAAGTCAACACAGAACTGTTGATAATAGCCCAAAAGTACATAGTGCACTGACTGGTGCATGTGGCTCAATATAAAGAACAGTGTAAGTCATCAACTATCCAAGAAGAGACAGAGGAACATATCAGAAAGGACTCTAGGAATAGAAAACCAAAAAAACTTTAATATGTTCATTGACTTGAAAGTCTTTCTCCAAGTAATTCTGAGAGTCAATTTGTTGGAATAAACCAAGTGTAGGATTGCATCACTTGCAATCATTCCTTATGAGTCATATCTTCCCCAAGAGTTCAAGACATCATGCTACACTGATGCATGCATACCAATGTTTATATCAGCACAATTTGTAATAGCTAAATCCTGGAAGCAACTTGTATATCTTATCAACAGATGAATGGATAAAGAAAATGTGGTATCTATAGATAATGGAATACTACTTAGTTATAAAGAAGGATAAATTTGAAACATTTGTAGGAAAATGGATGTACCTAAAAAAAATTATGTTGACTAAAATAAGCCAGACACACAGGCTTAAATACAGTAGACTATCTCTCATTTGAGTAAGGCAAAGTACACACCAAGAGAAAAATAAAGGAAGGATAGAAGGAGACAGGGGGATGGGCCTCTACCAGATAGGAAGGGGTAAAGGGGACCAAGGTGAGGGGTGAGAGAGAGAGGATGGGGAAATAGGTAGAGTGAAGATACACCATGGACGAGATCCTAATAATCTCAATCAATGTGGACATTGTACGCCATAAACATAAACCAAGATTAATAATAACAACAAAAAGAAAAGGGGGGAAAGGAGAAGTAGAAAAAGAGGAAGGGAGGGGGAAAGGGGACTAAGAAAGAAACAAGCTGCCTTATGTACAGGTACAAACCCCCAAGATGATTGTAAAATGCGTATACTGCAAACATGTACTAATAAACCACAAAAGAAGGTTTGGCTCACTCACCCTACATGTGACCACTCTTCATCACTGGCTGAGACCTCTCCAAAATGGCAGCATCCCATCGCTGTAACAAAATACCTGAGATAAACAATTTATAACAAGAAAACATTTGTTTTGTCTCACAGTTTTGAAGGTTTCAGTCCATGGTCACTTGGCCCTGTTACTTTGGTAGTGGTAGCACAGTTCATGACAGCCCAGAAGCAAGACTAGAGATAGGAAGGGAGCTGGGTCCAAATATCTCCTTCAAGGGCATAAACTAACTTCCTTCAACCAGGCCCACTTTCTAAACGTTCTGTAGCATCACAAGCTGCCAACCAAGCTTTTATTTATTTTTATTGAATCATTTTATTAGAGACTAGTATGCATAAATATGTCAAACATTTGTCTATATAATCATTGCCCTCCTAAATTTATATTTTATTTTTCTTTTTATTGGATCTTCCCTTTCTTTTTTGTATAAATCATTTTAATTATTAACAAAGTATCTGACACTTGATACTATTTTTAACAATTTTCTTCCTATTTCACAATATCTATTATAGGGCCAGGGATTTAGCTCAGTGGTTCTGCTGCTTGCCTTGCAAGCACAAGGACCCGAGTTTGATCCCTGGTACCAAAAAAAACCACAATATCTATTATACATTTTGGTCCTTATTTACACTTTCAATTTTTCACATCAGAGAGACGATGTGATATTTACACATGTATATCCAATTTATTTCACTTAGAGTATAGTCTCAAGGTACAACCATTCACCTAAAAATGTCTCAAGTTTATCCTTCTTTATGGTTGAGTGCTACTCCATTATATATTTAAAAAAACAACTTTTTTATCCATTCATCAGCTGATGGGCATTTGAGTCATTTTCAAGTTTTAGCTATTACAAACTGTACTGCTATAAACATGGGTGCACATATATCACCGTGGTATGATGTTTTTAATTCTTTTGGGGAGATACCCAGCAGAGGAATAGCTGGATCAAATGAGACCTCTGATCCTAATTTTTTGAGGAATCTCTACACTGATTTTCCCAGCAGTTGCACCAGTCTACACTCCCACTAACAGTGGAGAAGTGTTCCTTTTTCCCTCAACCCCACCAGCAATTGTTGTGGGTTGATTTCTTGTAATAGCCATTCTTCCTGGAGTGAGATGTATTGTTTTAATTTGCATCTCTTGAATGACCAGTGATGTTGAACATTTTTTCATGTATTTATTTGCAGTTTGTACTTCTTCAACTAAGAAGTATATATTCATCTTACATGCCCATTATTGGATTGGGTCTTTAAATTTGAGGGATCTGGGGGTTTTTTTAATTCTTTATATGCAACAGATATTAGTCCTTTGTCTGAGGAACATTGAGCTAAAATTTTTTCCCATTCTATGGGTTGTCTCTTCACTCTGTTGGTGATTTTGCTGTGCCAAAGCTTTTTTCTTGGTACCAGGGATAGAACTCAGGTCCTTGAGCTTGTGAAGCAGGCAGCGAAACCACTGAGCTAAATCCCCAGCCCTCAAAGCTTTTTTAATATGATGAGATCCCCATTGTTGATTCCTTATAATATTTCCCGTGTGATTGGGGCTTTGTTCATGATGTCTTTGCCTACATCTATGTCCTCAAGAGTTTTACCTATTCTCTCTTCCAGCAGACTGTTTCTGTTTTAATATTTAGATCTTTGATCCATTTCAATTTTAGTTTAGTGTACGATGAGAAACATGGGTCTAATTTTAGTCTTCGGCATGTAGAAAGCCAATTTTTCCAGCACCATTTATTAAAGACTAACCGAACTTTTAACACGTGGGCGTTTGGGGGTCATTCTGGATTCAAACTATAGCACTGCCTGACCCCTCAACACCCTATCATGAGAGCCTAGATCCTCAGAGGTTAAGCGTTCACTGCCATCATCAATGTGACTACAAAAGAAACCCAAATTGTTGACTACAGTGGGATTAAATGTCTATTAGCCCTTATGCATTCAATTCTTTCCCTCAGTACTCTTCAATTAGGGGAAAATCTTAACCCCATGGTTAAGGTTATTTTGGGAGCCAAGGACACTTCCTGCCAAAGACCAAGAATGATATGTACCCTTATTATTCAACAGTTGAGTGCAGCTGTTTTCTGAGACTGTGTTTCGTATAAGATAAAAAGGCAAGCTGCCTCCCTCAAAAGGCTGAGTCCAAAGAGCACAGGGCAGCTTGGACAATGAGCTGAGATTCTGGAATCTCAGGTCCACTTAAGCCAGTTGAGATGCTCTCAGGGCCTGAAGAACGGTGAGACCACCTCACCTTTAGTCAAGTGAACTCTGAACAGCTCCATTCTGAGTCTTCAACCCAAGTTTGATTTTGTCATTCTCAAAAGGCTGAGACTATCCTAAACAAATACACTGAAATGCATTTATTGAATTTTTTTGGTCCATTATGTGCTAGCACTCTGGTCTTAAGAAACTGGCATCTTATTTGGAGAAACAAGATATATGATAATAAAAACATAGACAATAAGCCCAACCAGGACTGAAGGAATTCCAAGGTAGGTAATATTATGAGAATGAGAAATGCTTTTCTTTTTAATGATGGATCTAGGCAGGAGTTTAGAGTATAATTTCTCAATCTTACAGAAAAGAGAAATTTAAATTTTTTATACCCAACCCAAATTTCTCATGCTTTAATTTTCTTTCAGGGGGGATTCTATGGAAATGGAAAACAGTTGTTCAATAACCAACTCATCAAATTCATAAATTTCTAGGAGTGAGTTTTCCTTCAGAAAAAGACAGATAAAAATATGCTTTTCAAATGTTCCTTCCCTGGCTTCCTCACTGGTTCTTTTTTAAAGTCTTCTTTGTATCCTTAGTCCCTAAACACAGATTTCTTTCAGGTTTTCACCTTGTTGTTCTCTATACTCTTTGCATACTCTCCTGGGACTCTCAAACACTGAGAATGTTGTAATGATGAAAGTGCTTGCAATTCTCTGAACATTACGTGAATCCATACTGTATTGTGACATCAAACTGAGACCTAGGCAGAAACCTGTCTTTCTTAGATCATACTACACCTTAATACAATTTCTTTGGTAGTTTCTAATTTGTAAGTTTTAAGAATAGTGCTCCTTCTGGCTTCTAGGTAGAAAACTTGACAGACCATCACTCCTACTCTTAAAAAAAAGTGCTGTGTAATCCACAAATTCATAACTTTACTTGGATCAATCAGAGATCTGAGCTTGCATAACAACAACAAAAAACTAATCTGAAATCTATGCACATGCAAATTCTGCAAAGAGAAAGAACATGAGCATTTGGTTACCTGGGATAGATGCTGCCAGACCCTGGTTAAGAAGTCAGCAAAAACTGTTGGGGCCAAGAGATGGATCTCAGGAGAATAGAGGACTCCTGAGGGTGCAGATGCAGTAGAAACTTGAATCTACTTGTAGCTCTTCTCCATACACTTCACCAGTGATCACAACAGAAGATTTAAGAGAGTCTTGAAAACAGGAAGCCTTGGATTGCAAGCCTGGAGGAAGAGAACAGCAGCTGAGGCAGGAAAGGCATTATACTCTACCCTGGTTCTCCTTGCCTACTCTTCTTCATAATAAATGCCTTATACCGCAGGAAAGAAGGCCCACAAGCACCTTCAACCACAGAGTAGTGGTGAAATTCTACTGTATCTTGGGAAGAGAATGAGAAAAATAGGGGGATCTCTACTGTAGAGGAAGGGAAAGAATACAAACGGGGTCCAGAATTAGCCCCAGGAGTTCTTCAGGAGCACTGAGATCACATCCCTGAAGCCCTGCTAAGTGTTTGTATAAAGCTGCAGCTCAATGAGAAGAGCAGAGAATATACCTGACCCCTACGACATGGCACTGAGTGAGAAGTGACAGCTAATAGAGAAACAAAAGTGTGAGAAAACACAGTACATAACAGCATAAAGGAACCGCCTGAAGCTGAAGGTGGATTAGATGTTGATAAAAAGGAAACTCCATCTTAAAGACAAGAAGTGCTTGAGAAATTTCTAACAAGTGATTCATTGTTGGTAACCATAGCAACAATGAATCATAAACTAAAATCAGCACCTAAGTAGATTGATGCAACTCCTCAAAGTAGGAAAGGAAAAGCATGCCTATCCTCAAGCCTGCACCTCCACCTCAAATAATGTATGTCTTTCAATAAAAACTTGCAAAGTATACCCAAAAATAAGCAGGAGAAGGGATAGAAGAATATCAGCCAAGAGACGATGCCGTCAACAGAAGCAGATACATGTGTGACATGCATTCTGGGACTACCAGACTGGGAATTTAAACTAACTCTAATTAACTTTTGAAAGGTGCTAATGCAAGGATGGACACCACATAATATCAGAAGATTAATTTCAGCAAATTAATAGAAACTAAAAAAGAATCAAATGGAAATGCTAGAAATGAAAATAGTAACTGACTTATAAGTGCAGCCTTTTGTGGTCTCAACAGAAGACTCTAAACAGTTGAGGAAAGAAGCAACGTGCTTTACAATTAGTTCAGAGAAATGATTCAAATGAAACGAAAGAAAGAAAATAGAAGGAAGAAAAGCAATGAAAGAACAGAGCACATGAGAAGTATAGAATACAATAAAAAAGAGCAAACGTATTTACAGAACACTCAGAAGGTGAAAAGTTTTTTAAAAATGGGACAGAAGAAATATTTGGAAAAATATGGATCAAGAATGCTTTTGAAGAAAGATCATTACAACACCAAGCAGGGAATAAAATAAAATAAAAAACTAGGTATATGAAAAAAAAGAAAACACTAAGTATATCATATTAAAATGACTTAAAACCAAAAACAAAGAAAAATCTTAAGGTGTCAGACAAAAATGAAATTTACCTATAGAGACTTAATGATAAGATTTATAATAAACATGTAGTTTGAAACCATGCAAAGGAGAAGAAAATGAAATAACATGTAAGCTATTAAAAGAACTGGGCTTAGAGGTCCCATTCGACCCAGCTATCCCCTTGCTGGGTATCTTCACAAAAGAATTAAAAGAATCTTACCACAGCGATATATGTGCATCCATGTTTATAGTGGCACAGTTCATAACAGCGAAAGCTTGGAAACAGCCCAAGTGCCCATCAACTGGAAACTTGATAAACTGAATAAACTGGGTTTTTTTTATAAAATGGAGTACTACTCAGCCATAAAGAACAACAAACTAGAGACATTTATAGCTAAATGGATGCATATTGAGGCCATCCTCTTAAGTGAAATAAATAGGACACACATGTAAATACCGAATAGTTTCTCTAGTGTAAGAAACTGAAAGTGTAATTAAGGATACACAAGGATGAAATGGCCTAATAACATATTTCTCAGATTGTGTTTCCATCGCGTGTCATATGACTGTATCGAAATTTAAATCAGAGAGAAGTTTGGCTTATGTGGAGTCTGCTAGCTAACTGGAGTTTTTTTCCAGATCATTATTTCTTCAATGTTGGTTTTGGAGACCTTTCTGAAACAAATTACATCCTCTGGTGTCTTATTGCTGCTTGAGATGCTTTTTTAAGTTATATGGAAAAATGTTTAAGTGCTTTTCAGTTTTGTTTTGGTTGAGTTCTACTGTATTTGAATATTATTATAGTTTTTTTCCCCTTGCATTGTTCTTCTCTGAATGTTTCTAAATTTTTTGTATGTGTGTGTGTGTGTTTGATAATAAAGTTATTTTAAAAACCTGTCAACTGTGAATTTTATAATCAACAACAAGAAGAAAAGATATTTTTAAAATATTTTTATCAGATAAAGAAAAACTAAGAGAATTAAGTGCTGGAAGACCTCTACTCCAAGAAATATTAAAGAAAGGTTAAGGCAGAAAGAATTTGACACCAGGCAGACTATACATGGACTGGATCTACAGAAAATAAAATGGAGAAGGAAGAAAACAGCATTAATGAAGATAAAATAGCATACTTCCTTTTTTTTTATTTGTAAGAGTTGTAGAAGATAACTGTCCAAAGCAAAGATAGTTTTAATGTATTGTGTTTATAACATATGTAAAGGTAAAATGTGTGATAAAGTAATATAGAGGATATAAAAGAGATTTGGGGAATGATGCTTATGTGAATAAGCAGTATCTGTTAGATCTACAAAAATCTTTAACTCCATACTTTTCAGTACCCCTCATGTATATGGAATTGGTAGAGAGACCAGAAGTCGGCTGGAAGTGAAAACAAGGCAGGCAGACTCCCTGTCCATATAGGTGCCATAAGAGACAAGGTGAAAATCCAATCAACCTCCAGGAGTAAAGAGCCACATAATTAATTCCCCATAGACCAACTCCAAGCTAAAAAGGAAGCTCAGCTATTTTTATGTATTCCTACTGCATGGTTTTCTTTAGGTCCTGGCAGATTTTTCAGACACTTGGAGAAAGAGCCTATCTATACTTTATCTCTGGGTTATATTTCAGCTATTGCTCTATTTTATTCTATTCTGCCCCAGATCTTGGGACAAAAAGTCTCTTCTGTAGCAATGGAAGTCTTCAGGCCATGTTTACACTAGAAAGAACAGTTTCCTTATAACTTCCCCATCACCCTTCTTGCTCTCTCTTCTGCCATACCGAAGGAGACCACTTAGAAGCAAATTTACAACAGAAGTTGAAAATCCAATCTCTCAGGCAAGAAAAAGCTGGATTTTATAATAACTCAGAAAGGTAGGATTTGAGAAAGGATTCGCTGCAGCCTTGATGGTGTGTCAAATCCGCAACGGCTGAGCGAACTCTGGTAGCTGCCTGTGCTGCCCAGCTCTAGGGCTCTGAGCTGAGCTAAAGAGGTTGGCAGGTGGTGATGGAGACAAAGCAGGACTAGTGAAGGCAGAGGCTGATGAGGAGCAAGGGGCAGGGCTGGGATCTGACACAGACCCAGTTCTATGTCCAGTGCTGCCTGCACCATTCTATCATGATCCAATAACATGTGAAACTGCCAGAGGCACTATTTGTAAGCAACAAGCAGCCACTGATGGAAGATACAAGCCTAAAACACACAGCGAGACTCAGCCTTCTAGAAGGAACCACTTGGGTTGAAAAGAGAAAAGTAATTACCTTGGTGGAATTGCTCTGGTCATGCCTGCTTTGTATGGAAAGCTTGAAAAACTGCAAAGGATGAGTAGTCCACATGCAGAGCTCCAAATATGCCACCAATGTGCTTCTGAGGTGGCCCTTATGCTACCTCCCAGGGTCTGGGAGATGGTTTTAGCCCAGTAACACAGATGAAGTGGGCTCCAGAGCATCACTCCTGCTTCCTCCTCCATGTCCTAAGACTAAATTGTGTCTTTGTCCCCAAGAGGCAAAGCTTCCAAGCCCAGAGCCGCAGGGCAGTGTCATTGCAACAAGCAAGCTTTGGGAACCTTTTACTACCAGCTCAGTAGATGAGAACCCCCAAGACCACTAAGAACTCCAACACAATGGCTAATGTCTCTGCATCCATTTTAAGATTATAAGACTAGAGAGTAATCTCTGCAAACGCAAACCTAGTCATTCTTCAAAGTTGATGTTTTTCTCCACCACAAAGCCTTCTCTGACCATTTCCAACAAAACTTATTTCCCTAAAGAAATTTATCAGATACTTAGATATGTTTTTCATCTATTGAATACACAAAGATAAAAATACCCCATTGTGGCAGAATTGAAGGGAAATAAGGCATTGGTACATGAGCTTAGTGGTATATTCACTGGTACAGTCTCTGAAGGTCAGGCCCGCAATGTGCATAAAGTAGAGGCTGGATGTCCCTTCTAAAATTTTTTCAGCGAGATCTTGTATGGACATGGGTTCCCATGAAAGCCAATTCAACAGAATGAATATGGGGACAGGTTTCCTAGCTCTGGTTGCTGACCCTACCACTTAGAAGCTCCAAAGCTTTGAGAACTTCAGGGTTTTGGGGGGGGGGGTTATCCCATTAAGTTTATTGGTACATTTTAGGTATAAAATACAGTTACATTCATCATTGGGATCTTGTACCATTACATGAGTATTTGGTTCTT